CTGACCCTAATATAACTAAACGAGCAGTTTCTTTTATGTTAGAAATTTCATGAACATATAATGCATAAAGATATACTAACTTAAAAAGATGTATCTATGCACTTACTTATTTAAAAGGCAGGCAACAGGCCGGCGCTGCGGCTCACTAGGCTAATCCTCCGCCTAGCGGCGCCGGCACACTGGGTTCTAGTCCCGGTCGGGGCGCCGGATTCTGTCCCGGTTGCCCCTCTTCCAGGCCAGCTCTCTGCTGTGGCCAGGGAGTGCAGTGGAGGATGGCCCAGGTGCTTGGGCCCTGCACCCCATGGGAGACCAGGAAAAGCACCTGGCTCCTGGCTCCTGCCATCGGATCAGCGCGGTGCCGCCGGCTGCAGCGCGCTGGCCGCGCGCCATTGGAGGGTGAACCAACGCAAAGGAAGACCCTTCTCTCTGTCTCTCTCTCTCACTGTCCACTCTGCGTGTCGAAAAAAAAAAAAAAAAAAAAAAAAAAAGAAAAGGCAGGCAACAGAGAACGAGAGAGAAGAGACAGAGAGCTTCCATCAATAGATCACTCCCCAAATGTCCACAATAGCCAGGTCTGGGCCAGGCGGAAGTCAGGAGCCAGGAGCCTGAACTCCATCTGGGTCTCCCACATGGCTGGTAGGGTCACAAGCACTCAGGCCATCTTCTGCTGCTTTCCCAAGCACATTGCAGAGAGCCGGTTCCGATGTGCAACAGCTAGGAATCGAAACAGCACTCCAATAAGGGATGCTGGCATCAAAAGGGGTGGCTTAACATACTGTGCCACAACTGCTGGCTACCCTATAAACATTTTTATAAGCCAATTTTATCACTAAAATTTTAGACTTTATTAAACTAAATAATTGAATATCTATTTACTTCATTCTGAGGATGCTGAATCAACCCTTCTGTTTTTCCATTCTCCAGAAAAATGTCAATGAAGTAGGAAATCCTACTACTCCCTACCTACCATAAAATACATACATCATAATTAAATTTGTATCTATCTATATTTTCAGTCACCTTTTTTTTTTTTTTTTTTTAATATGCTTCCCCTCCTACCTGTGGAAAAGTTAATCCTTTTCCTATCAGGAGTTAAGCTTTTAACTGCCACCTCCCAACCATTTAACAGGATATTTATTGTGCCTGCTCTGTGTAATTTAGTGTGTGAGTACCTGGAAATACAAAGACCAATTATGACTTGATGACTATCCTGGTTTAGCTGATAATTGGTATGCTGTGGAGATGGCCATAGAACACTTGCTGGAATGAGTGGGGACAAGGGAGCACCGAGGGGGTTGTTATCACTTCTGCTTTTGCCTCCTGAATCTCGAATCCCCATTTGCCTGAGGACACGAACACAACCAACCACCACCCTCCTTCAGTGCAGGCACAGTACTGTCATTCTCATTCACACCCAGGCTTCCTCTCTGGCCTTCCATTGGAAGACAAGCAGAAAAAAGAAATCTGCCTTTTGGCTCACTTCTCTGTTTGCTCAGCCTAGTATAATCACATTCAGTCAGGCCACTGTCCCTTGGGACAGAAAGCCTTCTACCCCTTCACCTTTTCGACTGAACTCAACACCATTGCCAGTATGTCCAGGAAGCCATCTGACAGGCTTTGCACCTGTGTTCTCATAGAACCCTGTTCTGAGCTCCATCAGCACAGACCTCCTGCTACCCTAAAACTGTCTACTACTTGTCATTTGTCCATTATATTGTAAACACTTTAATAAAAGTATCTTTGCTTTCTAATCTTAGCGCTTAGCACAGTATCTGACAATGTAGTGATGCTCAATAAATTTTGAATTAATAGACTATTGATTTGGGACACTTTTTTCTTACTACATAACAAAGCAATGAATGCTATTGTTTGGTAGCATCTACTAACATACTACTCATACTCATATTTGAAACCATATCCTTAGAGATGACAAAAACCCAGGACTTTTTTCATTTTACAACTAAGTAAATAATTATATATTTCCCAGACCAATTTCTTATCAGACTAGAAAGCCAAAGTAAAATAAAGTCTACTAACTCAAATAAAAAGATTAAATGCTAATAAAACTATAAATATCTTGGCTATTCTATCTTGTCATTAGGATTAAAACAATAGGAACAAATATTTATAGGATAATAGATACTCCAGAAATACATGTTCAGGCTAACATTTTAAGTTGTATCAAACTGCTGATCAGTTAATTTTCTGCATACTAAATCTCTTACTCTTTGAATCCATTACCTGCATTTCTGAAAGTTCATTATTAATGGTAAGTTCTAATAACATCTCAGCAAAAGCAGGCCTACAGAAATTACTAACTGATGTTAATTTTTAATTGGCTGTAATTTAATGGCTTTGTTTTGAAGATCCTAAGTTTTACAGTAAAGATGTGAAGGAATGCTATATCAAATCCAAATTACATAGTCTAAAAAGATGTATATTGTCCTAAGAAGAAAAAAAAAACAAGAAAAAAACTATTTTATGTTAAAAATTAATATTCTCTGAGAAAGTAAAAAGTTCATGAGTAAGGAATCAAGAACACCAACAACCAAATACATGTCAACTTACAAGTACTTCTTGAGTCAAAAATTATGACTCAAGTGAGTTTTAAAAATTATGTGGAAAACTACTAGTTAACATGTATAAACTATTCATTTTACACAGAGCACTGCACTGGCTTTCTTAAGTTAACAATTAAGCATACCATATTTCTTTGATTTTTTAAGATGTCATCAAACTGTTAGATATAATCAATGAAACTACAGTTGCAAAATTAAAATGGGGAAAAAAATAGTGTCTAGAATTAGGCAACAGTGGTATTATCTTTTTGAATAGCTTTACTGAGATACAATTTATATGCCATAAAATGTATTCATTTACAGAGCACAAGTCAAAGATTTATGGTATGGCCGGCGCCGCGGCTCACTAGGCTGATCCTCCGCCTGCAGCGCGGGCACCCTGGGTTCTAGTCCCGGTTGGGGTGCCGGATTCTGTCCCGGTTGCTCCTCTTCCAGTCCAGCTCTCTGCTGTGGCCTGGGAAGGCAGTGGAGGATGGCCCAAGTGCTTGGGCCCTGCACTCGCATGGGAGACCAGGAGGAAGCACCTGGCTCCTGGCTTCGGATTGGCGCAGCGCCAGTGTAGCGGCCATTTGGGGGGTGAACCAATGGATAGGAAGACCTTTCTCTCTGTCTCTCTCACTGTCTAAATCTGCCTGTCAAAAAAAAAAAAAATTTACGGTATATTCACAGTTCTGCAATCATCAGCACTTTCAACTTTAGAACAAAAAGAAGCCTCTATGTGCATTAGCAGTTCCTTCCTATCTCCTGCTTCACCCATACCCCAGAGCTGTGCTCTTAGCCCCAAGCAACCATTACTTCTACCTCTATGGGTTTGCTTATTCTGGTCATCCATATAAATGGGATCATACACCAGTGGTCTTCTGTGACTAGTTTCTGACATCTATCCATGTTATAGCATGTATCAGTGCTTCGTCCCTTTTGTTCAGAATGATATTTCATCATATGGACAGACCTCATTTTGTTTACCTACCCATCACTTTAGGGACATATGAGTTGTTTCCACTTACTGGCAATTATAAAAAAATGCTGCTTTGAACATTTGTATTCAAGTTTTTGCATGAACATATGCTTTCAATTCTCTCAAGTATATACCTAGGAATGAAAATGCTGGTTCATATGGTAGCTCTGTGTTTAATGTTTTGAGAAACTGCCAAGATGTTTTCCAAAGCAACTGCATCATTTTACATTTCCTGTGGAGGGTATGTATGTATGAGGGTTTCAATTCTTCCACATTCTCATCAAAATTTGTAATCGTTTATTAGAGCCATTCCACATATTATAACTTACAATATTGCACAGATCACTACATAAATTAACAATCAGCTGTACATTTACATTGGAATATTTCTCAAATACCAATGAGAGCTTTGCACTGCTCTATTATTTATTTATTTACTTATTTATTTGACAGGCAGAGTTATAGACAGTGAGAGAGAGACAGAAAGGTCTCCCTTCTGTTGGTTCACCCTCCAAATGGCGGCTACGGCCAGTGCGCTGTGCCGATCTGAAGCCAGGAGCCAGGTGCTTCCTCCTGGTCTCCCAAGCAGGTGCAGGGCCCAAGCACTTGGGCCATCCTCCACTGACCTCCCGGGCCACAGCAGAGAGCTGGACTGGAAGAGGAGCAACTGGGACTAGAACCAGCGCCCATATGGGATGCCAGCGCTGCAGGAGGAGGATTAACCAAGTGAGCCACGGTGCCGGCCCCCTTGCACTGCTCTTTCAGTTTGCATGGTAGCCCTTCTGATAAGCAAAATCAATTTTAAAATGTAGAAGATATGTTTGGTGGTGTAATCTAAATTATTAGAACAGTTTATCTTCTGGGTAAAGCTAATGGGAGAACACAGAAAGACATACCCATGCCTGTAGCACTGCTATTATACAAACCCAAATATAAAAACATTCACTTTAAGGGTCCAGCATTTAACCCTTTTTCTTTATAGCTCTAACTCTAAGAGAACTATTTACTTTTTCCATCATTTTCATCCTAACAATGAGAGGTCTTGAATAAGCTCATGGAAAAATGCACTTACAAGAGAAACCGTGCATGGATTTCAAAAATTTTTTTACCAAAATAAGTTTTATCTTTTCATTCCATTTTCCATGAACTTTCTGAAGTACTGTCATACTTTACACACACACACACACACACACACACACACACACACCAGAGGGCCTCCTTTCATGGTTGTTATCAATACCTTTTTATCCTCTGAAAAACTAGGTAGGAATTTTTTTAAACCCAGGTGAAAACCTAAAGATTTCTTCATCAAATCTCTCTTTCACCAGCTAGGAAATTATGCTCTAAAATGCTGCTGTATCACTTAAAAGTAATTAATTCCCATTAATTGATTGCTTTTAGGAAGATCCTAGTGTAAATTAAAATTTCCTAATCATCTATGGCATGCAACACTTTCCACTTACTTTCAGGCTTTGCATCCGCTGCAGCGTGGCGCATGCTTTTCAGCTGATTCTGTACTCTTTGCAGTCTCTGCACTGCATGAAACAGCTTTAAAATGCAATTAGATCTATTACTTGCTTAGTTTATTAAAACTTACTACTCACATAGGCAAGCAATGGAAAACACATATAGCTATTATCATATAAAAGGAACAAATAATAAGAACAAAAAATTACTATATTAAGCCCAAAATATAACTGGTTCTCTCTATATACTTTATGAAACATTTTTTTAAAAAGCTTTCAGAAATGTTTCTTTAGTTAATTGTTGGATTTGGAGATTAAAGAAAAATGCTGTGAAATAAATATATGCACCAGGCTACCCTTATTATAACTGGGTTTGTTCTTAATTCTAAAGCATGCTAACAGTCTCACAATTTCGTATCTGAATCAGAAACGTATGCGAAGCTACCATTCAAGGCTCAGGCAATGCAGCTGACTGCCTCGATGAGATCACCATGGAGCCACATCAAGCGCCAACAGAGCCAAACATCTCAACTGCCAATTTAGTAGGAAATGAAGCTGGCTGGAAATATATTTTTAATGTAGAAGTCTATTCAAATTTTATAACAGGGTTTTAATAAATAAAAATAATACTTTCAGGCCAAATTATTTTTTCCTTAACCAGCTTTTTTAAAAAAATTATTTTTTTTTATTTGAGAAGAGCAAGACAGAGTACTCCCATTCCCAGGTTCACTTCTCAGATGCTGACAACAGCCCCACCCTTTTGGCTGTAGCCAGGAGCTGGGAACTCAATCCGGGTCTCCTTGCAGTTGGCAGGAAACCAATTACTTGAGCCATCACTGCAGCCTTCCAGGATCTGTACTGCCTAAGAAGCTGGAATCAGAAGCTGTAGGTAGGTACCAAACCCAGGCTCTGATATAGAAAACATGAATCTTACCTGCGAGGCTAAACACCAGCCCCAAGGCAAAGTTTAAAAACATGGAGTGTGGGGCCGGCATTGTGATTCAGAAGGTTGAGACACTAGCAGTGAGCAACACCAGCGGCTCGGCCTCTGATCCAGGCCCCTGCTAACATGTCTGTGAAGGCAGGGGACGAGGGTCCAAGTACTTGGGCCCCTGATACCTATATGGGAGACCAGGATGGAGTTCCTGGCTCCTGGCTTAAGTATGGCTCAGTTTTGGTTGTTGCAGCCATTTGGGAAGTAAACTAGATGATAGAAGTTTCTCTCTCTCTCTCTCTCTCTCCCTCTCCCCCTCCCCATCTTTTGTAATGTTGGAACAAGAGCTAAGCATAGGCCAAAAGATAATATATACAGAGTATTGACCCCAAAAGGTGGTATTGCTATTGATATCACAAAATATTCTTATTCAAATTACTATTCCACCAAGTTAACAAAGGGAAATGTCAATTTTTACAACCCTAAAATTATTTCTTTCCATTTGCAATATAAGAAACAACTATTTCTTTCACCATGAGAATATGAACTTTTATGTGGATACCTGATTCTTTTGTTCCAGTTTCTGTTGTGCAAGAAATTCTTCTCTCTCTTTTTCAACTCGAAGTTGCCTTGCTATTTTAAGCATCCGTTGATGATTCTGAACTGTCTCTACCTACAGTAAGGGGATAAGCAGTACGTGTCACTGTCAGGTCTGAGAAAGAAATGAACATGTCATGTGACTCAGACATCCACTTATCATTTCCTTTTGGTAAACAGTACTTCCCAGAGATGACAGCAAAGCTCTAGACTCTAGGTCCTTAAAGTTTTGGGCTACTGCCTAGGGAGATTCCCTTCCCGTCAATTTTATTTGAGTCCATCTTCAGATGTACACCAATGCCTGGCTTAATCTTTATTTGCATTCCTAAATCTCTGAATGTCTTTGGGACTTTGAGCCAAAGTCTTACAGTGCTAATTCTTGCCTTACCCTTTTCTTCAAACGTTCGACTCTTTTAATGAGCTGATCCTTTTCTTCCTCCATTGCACTGATATCCTAAAAAGGAGTAGAGAACATTATAAGAAAAAGTATGCTTTGTCTGTAGGATTCAGTTAAGCTTTTATGTAATTATATGTCTACCATTTCATCTCTTATAATCAGAGCATTAAGGAACAGAGATCTTCCCTCCAATAAAGGGCATTTCTATTTTTCTCCAAGGTTCTTTATGCAGGGTAATTTTTTTGGCAGTTTGGCATTCATCAAGAAAAGCAACTAAAACAGGTTCTAATGCAGCAAGGTAAAGCTGCCAACTAGCACATTTGTGTTCTGATTCCAAATATGGGCACATGATTTTTCAAAAATCTTCTTTAAGGAAAGTGTGCAGGTCTAAATACGTGAACAACAGCTGCTGACATCCCATCTGCTCTTATATATCAATCCATATATTCTTCCAATTTTCCAACAAAATTAATTTTAAGGGGAGTGAATCTGGTGTTATCAAGGCATAAATGTGCTGATTAACCAATTCCCTCCCTGAAAATGACTTCAGAAATAGACTACCTTCATTTTAACCAATTTCATAATATTTTGTAATGAAAAAAACCCTTCTTAAGCCTAAAAGCTCAACTATTATAGTAATACAAAATATGAAAATAGACATGATAGTCAGTATTGGCAGAATTTGGTACTACTACTACTGGTAGTATTAGACGTCTTAGAACGTTTAGGTTTTTTTTTGTCATTTTGGTATACTCATACGGATATATGGGAGGAACTCCAGAAGAACATCTATCACTCTTCTTCTATAAAATTTCTGTAAGATTTCTACAAAATTTTTAAGTATCTACTTAAGAGTCTTTCTAGACCACTGATCTGAGTTCTTCCTACACTGCTAATATTCAACAAACTCCCACTGAAGATCTGCCATGTGTCAGGCACTCTGACAGACACTGGGAATTTAGCAATGAGCAAGATATACAACATAGTCCCTGTCTTCATAGGGCTTAAAGATATTTAGGAAAACAGATATTAAGGTAATTTTAAGCATGATGACTATTACCAAACAAAGAAGAATTGAAGGAACTAATCTATTCAGGGAATTAGGAACCATCTTCTTCTTCTTTTTTTTTAAAGAATTTATAGAAAGCAACTTCTAATATTCCTGATTGAGAAGATAAAGATGGCAATGATAACTCAAGAATTCAAAATCCACTGAAGTCAGTATCACAGTAAGTGTTTTGAGAAAGAATATAAATGTCTAATGAGAAGGTAAAAAAAATTTTCTGGATAACACTGAATAACAATACATTCAGAGTCCTAAAAATTTTCATAGTATTTACAATTCCATTTCTAGAAATGTATTCTAAGGAAACAATTACAGATACACAGAAACAGATAGGTAGAAGATAATCATAGCATTATCTATGATAATAGAAAATGAAAACAAAAAACTAAAAAAGGTTTTAAACTACCTATACTATAGAATACAATTTGGTCATTAAAAATCACACTGTAAAAAGTTAACAATGGGAATATATTCACAATGTAATGATTTCAAAAACAAGATACTAATAATTACGTATAGTATGATCCCAACTATATATATATATATATATATACATACACACACACACATACACAACCCAGTAACAATTAGTTTTTTCTTTTTTCTTTTCTCTATTTTCTACACACACATACACATATAAACCAGATAAAGATTCAGAACGTAATATTTTTAAATCCATACTGGTGGTCTATATAGTATACAAAAACTCATCATGAATTTACCCTAGCCTCATTTCCTTAGTAAAGATCTTCCAAAGGTTGAACAAACAAAAGAAACTGCCATTTGCTGTAACTAGTCTCCTCATAGTCTTAAGATTCATAATGAATTTAACTAAAAACTAAAATGTTAACTCTAATATTATACAAATCCAAAAACATTATATTCCAAAAACATTCTATCTTCTTTTCTTTACCCTTCTTATTTCTGCTGTAGAAAATCCAGATGTCTTGAGCTGCTCACATTCTTTATGCAAAGTTTTAAAGGCTTCCATCAACTCTTCATACTAAAAGAATAAGTTAATAAATTATAAACTAATGACTAGATCCAATAGACTTTTCTTCATCAGGTTGTCTACCAACTTACAGTGATTACTTCAATCACTGTAAGAACAGCATTCAATACACATTCTTAAAATTTACATAGGACAAAACAGTAGATCTGTACAGCTTGACCACTAAGTATTTCCCCAGTTTCATTTCTAGCTATTCTCCCATCTCACATGCTATACTTAGCTATACTGATATTCAGTACTGGCAACATTCCAAGCACTCACCTCCAGCTTACACAACCTATTCGCTGTGAGAACCCCTCCCATCCCTAGCCCAGGTAATTCCTGTTTATCCTACAGGTCTCAGCATAGATTATCAGTATTCTCAGAGAAGCCTTCTCTGACCTTTCCTATCACTGTAGATATGACATAAAATTATAACTGACCAGCTACTTGTCTGTCCATTAGGGCAAGCCAGGAGAACAAGACTCATCCTCAGCCGGCGCCATGGCTCACTAGGCTAATCCTCCGCCTTGCGGTGCCGGCACACCGGGTTCTAGTCCCGGTCGGGGCGCCAGATTCTGTCCCGGTTGCCCCTCTTCCAGGCCAGTTCTCTGCTGTGGCCTGGGAGTGCAGTGGAGGATGGCCCAAGTGCTTGGGCCCTGCACCCGCATGGGAGACCAGGAGAAGCACCTGGCTCCTGCCATCAGATCAGCGCGGTGCGCCGGCCGCGGCAGCCATTGGAGGGGGAACCAATGGCAAAGGAAGACCTTTCTCTCTGTCTCTCTCTCACTGTCCACTCTGCCTGTCCAAAAAAAAAAAGAAAAGAAAAAGAAAAAAAAAGAAAAGACTCATCCTCATGCGTACATTGTACATCCCTAGGATCCATCACAGTACATAACAACCCAAACAGATGTTCAATAAAGCAGTTGAATGAACGAAAAAAAAATCACAACTTTCCTAAATTTGTAAAAATAGTATTTTTGGTAGAAAAGATAGAAAATTATTTTTCTTGACTAATCATATCCTATACATCTACAAATTATTCATTCTAAAACTCTTCATTCAGAAAGGTAACATACATTTTTCTAAAGACTTATTTATTTGAAAGGAAAAGTGACATAACGAGAGACAGAGATCGTCTGTTGGTTCGGTCCCCAAATGGCTGCCAATAGCCAGGTCTGGGCCAGGCAGAAGTCAGGAGCAAGGAACTACATCTGGGCCTCCCAGGTTGGTGGCAGGGACACAATTACTTGGACCATCCACCGCTGCCTTCCCAGCAGAGAGCTGGATCTGAAGCAGAGCAGCCAGTATTCAAACTGGCACTCCAATATGGAATGGCACTGCAACAAGTAGTGGCTGAATCCACTACACCACTATGCCACTTGCATAATATGCATTTTTTAAAATTAAGGTCTCTGGAACTGGCCATGTGGTGCGGTAGCTTAATCCTCTGCCTGCAGTGCCAGCATCTCAAATGGTTGCTGGTTCTAGTCCCCGCTGCTCCTCTTCCAACCCAGCTCTCTGCTATGGCCTTGGAAAGTAGAAGATGGCCCAAGTGCTTGGGCCCCTGCACCTGCATGGGAGACCCGGAAGAATATCGTGGCTCCTGGTTTTGGATCAGCCCAGCTGCGGCCATTTGGGGAGTGAACCAGTGGATGGAAGACCTTTCTCTCTGTGTCTCCCTCTCTCTGTCTGACCTTCCTGTCTCTCCCTCTCACTTTCTACCTCTCAAATAAAATCTTTAAAAAAATAATAAAAAATAAATTAAGGTCTCTGCTGATTGGCTAAATGTGTAAGTCATTACATACACAAACATAATATGCTTAAAGAACAAATATTTCTTTATGATTATACTAAAATTCCTCTAGAGGATTTTGTTTTTATCAAATTTATTGATGGAAGTGGGTAGGAGGAGAAAACATTCCACATTTATACTTCCCTATTTCCTATCCGGTAAAAGTTTCAAAGGTAAGGACAGGATATCCTCATTCTGTTTCTCCTTGGCATCTACTGTGACATTTGACATACTTATTTACACAAATATTAGCTTAAGAGATCAATATTGACTTTTTCTGAATGAATGCCATGCCTAAAAAATAACAAAATACGTAGATGGAAAACAAAAACACACATTTGGTTGTTAATATTCAAATATTGAACAACCAACATATAGAAGCAATCACACAAAATCCTCGGGGAAAACAAAGATGAATAAACACACGTCGCTTGTCTCCACAGACCTCAGGCTCTACTGGGAAAGAGAGAGCGACAAACTATTCACAAGAGGCGTGTATCAGTGCACTAATCATTCTGTTTAACTGCTATGAAATAAACGGGCAACACATTAAACAGAGGCAATTGTCTTTTTAACCAAAGTCCTCTAAAATCTATGCCTGTTTTATCTCCTACAGTCTGACCACTAATGTGCTTTGGGATCCCAGGACCAAGAGTGAGATCACTTAGTCCTCAGTGCACAGAGATTTAAGACCTTAGGCCAGGGGCCGACACTGCGGCGCAGCAGGTTAAAGCCCCAGCCTGCAGTGCCAGCATCCCATATGGGTGCCAGTTCAAATCCTTGCTGCTCCTCTTCTGATCCAGCTCTCTGTTATGGTCTGGGAAAGCAATAGAAGATGGCCTGCACCCACATGGGAGACATGGAAGAAACTCCTGGCTCCTGGCTTTGGATCAACACAGCTCCAGCCATGGTGGCCATCTGGGGAGTGAACCAGTAGATGGAAGATCTCTCTCTCTCTGCTTCTGAGCCTTTTAAATAAATAATTTTTTTTTTTTAAAAGAAGAAGATCGCACAAGTCCTTGGGCCCCTGCACCTGCATGGGAGACCCGGAAGAAGCTCCTGGCTTCAGATCAGCTCAGCTCTGGCCGTTGAGGTCACTTGGGAAGTGAACCAGCGGATGAAAGACCTCTCTCTCTCTGGCTCTACCTCTCTCTGTAACTCTTTCAAATAAATAAAATAATCTTAAAAAAAAAAAGAATATGAAATCTTCTTAAAAAAAAAGATACCTTAGGCCAGAACCCAGTGTTACCCCAAAATTCTAGTGAGAACACACTGAGATTTCAAACTACCAGACCTTTATCCTCCATCTGCTTGGCAAGTCACTTTGAGACTTTAAGTCTAGCTTCTCTGCTTATTTCCCTGCAGGGGCTCACATGTCTCAGCTTGCCTGGGATACTCTTGATTTATTAGCCCTGGTGTAATTTTTATGATGGCCCATTTTCTCTATATTTGGATGACAAACTGAATAGGTACTTTACTGAGCAGCAAAAAGCTCTGTAGTCTCAAGCCCTAGGTCCCATCTAGCTAAAGTGCTGAGTAAAAATTACCCAAAAATTTTAATTTCAAGCTTTTTTTCTATCCATATACTCCTATCACTGAAGCAGAATTTTTGTGCAAAAGTCATGTTAACATGTGACTACGGTAGAATCAGTGATACCTTCTCACCTTCTGCTGCCAACTGGAACAACAGAAATAGCAAGAAAAATTAACTTGATTACGTGCACCTCAAAATCCATTGCAGATAGCTCAAAATGCCCTTTTGGTATTGCATACCTGTTTATTGGTGTCAGCCACAGTTTCATCCTGAAGAAACTCACTTGGCACCTCAAGTTTTATTAAAAAACGAGCTAAATATGCTCTCTTCTTCAGTTCGTTAGTCCTCTGAAGAAGCCAGTGGAGCACTGGGTAAATTACAGGTTTGCTTCCAATCACCAGACCCTGACGGAAAGTACTCCTGAGAAAACAAAAGCACACGTGAGGACACACACACACACACACACACACACATATACTTATCAGGGCGTCTTGCAAAGAGATAGACAGTATTTGCTCAAAATCAGATTTACAGGGGCTGGCGCTGTGGCGCAGCAGGTTAACGCCGTGGCCTGAAGTGCCAGCACCCCATAAGGGCGCCTGTTCGAGACCTGACTGCTCCACTACCGATCCAGATCTCTGCTATGGCCTGGGAAAGCAGAAGACAGCCCAAGTCCTTGGGCCCCTACACCCGCATGGGAGACCTGAAGGAGGCTCCTGGCTCCCGGCTTTGGATCGGCGCAGCTCCAGCCGTTGCGGCCAATTGGGGAGTGAATCAAAGAACGGAGGACTTTCTCTCTCTCTCTCTGCCTCTCCTCTCTGTGTAACTCTGACTTTCAAATAAATAAATAAATCTTTAAAAAAATCAGATTTATAATGTCCTGATTGCTTTCTATAACTTTTTTTTTTTTTTTTTTGACAGGCAGAGTGGACAGTGAGAGAGAGAGAGAGAGACAGAGAGAAAGGTCTTCCTTTGCCGTTGGTTCACCCTTCAATGGCCACCGTGGCTGGCGTGCTGCAGCCGGCGCACCGCGATGATCCGAAGCCAGGAGCCAGGTGCTTTTCCTGGTCTCCCATGCGGGTGCAGGGCCCAAGCACTTGGGCCATCTTCCACTGCACTCCTGGGCCATAGCAGAGAGCTGGCCTGGAAGAGGGGCAACCGGGACAGAATCCAGCATCCCGACCGGGACTAGAACCCGGTGTGCCGGCGCCACAAGGCGGAGGATTAGCCTATTGAGCCAGGGCACCAGCAAAAACTTTCTATAACTTCTTTAAAAGAATAAACCCAAGGCTATTTCAAAGTCAGTCTGTACATTAATTAGAAAAGATGGAAAGTTAAGCCTTCAAATTGAAGTAGCCAAGGAAGTCAAGTTGGAACCACTAATTGGTACAGTCAGTCTCAATACTTCAATGACTGGGCAATGTTTAAGTTGTTTTTATTTAGGATGACAGATAAATGATAAAATGGTAGAGAATTTATCTGGCTTTTTTATTATTATTATTAAGGCAAAGATCTGACTCATTTAAGATTTCTACATGACAGTATATTAGAAGGTTTAAGATGGGGCCGGCGCTGTGGCTCACTTGGTTAATCCTCCACCTGCAGCGCCTGCATCCCATATGGGCGCAGGGTTCTAGTCCCAGTTGCTCCTCTTCCAGTCCAGCTCTCTGCTGTGGCCCAGGAGGTCAGTGGAGGATGGCCCAGGTCCTTGGGCCCTGCATCTGCTTGGGAGACCAGGAGGAAGCACCTGGCTCCTGGCTTCAGATCGGCACAGCACCAGCCATAGCAGCCATTTGGGGAGTGAACCAACGGAAGGAAGATCTTTCTCTCTGTCTCTCTTTCTCACTGTCTATATCTCTACCTGTCAAATAAAAAAAAAAAAAATTCCCACAGCAGCCAGGGCTGGGACAGGCCAAAGCCAAGAGCCCAGGGCCCACTTCAGGTCTCCGACGTGAGTGGCAGGGACCTGAGTGCTGGAGCCGTCACTGCGGCTCCCAGGTGCACCAGCAGGAAGCAGGAGTTGGAGGCAGGGCAGGTGCAGGGACCCAGATCTCGGATACGGGATGTGGGTGGCCCAAGGAGCATCTTAGGTACTGACACAGACACCCACCCCAAGTACTTTAGGAGCCCGGGTCAGGGCCAGGATGAAGAGCAGTTATCTGGACAGTGCACAAGACTCGCCTTCCTCTGTGCTCACTGGGTGGCTGCGGCTGCACTGGGCACCTCCCGGGTTGTCGGGCTGAGGGCCCCTGCGCCCATAGGCCACTGCCCAGAGGCCTCTCCCCAAGGCAGCTGACCACGCAGCCAGCAGGGAGAGCCAGAGAGGGGCCATTGGCCTGGGTCCCGATCCCGTGGGAGAGAGTCTCAAAAGTACCCTCCCTCCTCCGGCAAAAAAAAAAAAAAAAAAAGGTTTAAGATTTTGAGGGCCGGCTCTGTGGCACCGCAGATAAAGCTCATGCCTTTAGTGCCTGCATCCCATATGGGCACCAGTTTGAGTCCCGGCTGCTCTACTTCCCATCCAGCTCTCTGCTAATGCAGCTGGGAAAGCACTAGACGATGGCCCAAGTGCTTGGGCCTCTGCACCTGTGTGGGAGACCCAGAAGAAGCTCCTGGCTCCTAGCTTTGGATCGGCCCAGCTCTGGTTGTTGCGGATGTTTGGAGAGTAAACTAGCAGATGGAAGACTTCTCTCTCTGCCTCTGCCTCACTGTAACTCTGCCTTTCAAAAAATTAAATAAAAATCTTAAAAAAAAGTATTTTGAAATTCAGCAGAGTTCTCACTCCACTGAATTAGGGAGACCAGTACTGCCTAAAAAGACTGATTGTTTCATGCAAAGGTTTGGATAGAAAACTGTAGTTTTTAAAAAGCAAGATGTGATCAGATTCTTACATGTCTGTAGCATTTCCTGGAGGTTTATATTTAAGGATACCGAGAAGGCTCAACATCCGTTTGGCTGTTTGCTCTGGCATCTCCTCTCTGATATCAACAACTTGCTAAAAAATAAATGGAAGTATGTTATTGCTGCATATCTAACAAAGAACAATATTTAAACTATCAAAACTGTTTTGCTAGCACATAACAGGTACAATGGTCTCTTCATAAAACAGATTAACTATGGAGGCCCCCAGATTCCAAGAGAGAGGGCACACAAGTCAGATCAGGATTCATATTAAGAATGTTAGGCTTAAAAAAGAGTCTCCAATGGAAAAAGACCAGTGTATGAGAGACATGAGCCAACTTGCAATACAATAAAACCTTTTGTTAAAGTATTTTCATTCTAGGACCAAATCCATTTATGTCTGGACGTAGGGAAATAATGTCTAAATAAGGTACAAGCAGATAATTTTTGGGCTAGTAGCAAAACCTTAAAGATCATTTACTATTACTTTATAGGCATGGAAAATAAGGCTCAGAGAGGTCAAATAAATTGCCCAACCCACAGCTATTGAGGGCAGAAACCTGCTTTCTGGCCACTCTTCTCATCACGGAGGAAGAGAAAACTCTTACCTTTGGGTCAATCTCAGCCAGAACATCATTGAGAACTTGTAATAGTTGCATTGGCTCCAGGGAATCAAATGTGATTAAATTATAATTCTTCCTAAAAGGCTCTTTATTGAGATTGTCCACAATGAATTTGATTTGGTCACTCATAATTTGATCTTATAACTTAAGCTACAAATAAATACAGAGAAAAAAATTCTTCAACATTGCTAACAAAATTTCTGGGAAAAAAATGAGAATTAAATTCATTGGAAGTAGGCTTGAAAAGTATAATTCTACATGGTATACAAAAATGCTATTTTGTTGAAAGAAATCAGTTTGAAGACTGATAATAAAAGCTGCAGTATATGCTGCTAGTAGTTAACATCAAGTGTTTCTGTGTATACCTCAGGTTTGGCAGTGATCACTTGAATGAACATGGACAAGTGAATAATAACTCCTATCTACATCAATAGCTCTCTCACTCAGCTGTATAATTCCTACCCAGGAGTTAAGACTTGTTAGGCTGCAGACATGCTTCTAATAATTTTTTTTTTTTAAAGTAGTCCACATTAAACATCCAGATCCAGATCCCCAGTTTTTCTAAAAATCAAATCTGGCAACACGGAGCCTACACTTGTGCTTGACCACAACCAACAGAAGCGGAGCAGATGCACACTTTCGCCTGGACACGCTCTCTGGTTCGGTTCTGGTCTCCCCCACCACACCTCTTCACCTGTCCGCTCCTGTTAAGGGCTTGGTGCCATCCTGGAGTAATGGAGGCCTTCATTTCCTTTCGCCTTCAGTGAGGCAACGATCTCCCATATTCTGGCCTCGATCTCTCCCCTTTCCGAATCATCTGTAGCTTCCCATCACATACAAAATAAAGTCCAAGCTTCTTGACTTGGAGACTCATGATGTAGTTCAACCAGCCTTTCCCAACTTCATTTCCAAATTGTTACCTTTCACCTTTCAAACCTCAGCCCACGGAAGCAGTCACAGTCCACCTGTCGGCCTTCACCTAAAGCTGTTTTCTTGGCCTAGAAAGCGTGCTGCCATCTTTCAAGATTTGCCCACCAGATGCATGTTTCTCCAGGAAACTTTTCTCAAGGTCTCGCTAAGTTCGACAGCAGAGTGAACAGCACCTGCCCTCCACGCTGACTGCACTTTATCTGCGCTTCTCCCCTAGGGTTGCTTTTTATCTTGTACTAGTTCCTTATGTACACATTTTCTATTCTCTCCTGAGCTGTAAATTCCATGAGGCCAGTACCTCTAAGCTCATGTTTGAACACCCACTAGATCTGAAAGAGTGACTTCTTCCACTGGACTGGATGAACTTGTGCATAGGCCCAAGGCCAGGAAAAAAAAAAAAAATCTAAATCTAAAGGCAATCAGGTTGATGGTGAGAGAGATAATAAGTTTTATAAAAACTGAATATCTGATTTCTTAATTGCTGAAACAGCTTTGCCAAAGTAAACTGCTTTAACTTTAGCAATTAAAAAAATGAGTTGCTAAAAAGAAAAAAAATTACTTCAGTGCTCCCCAATAGTAAAAATTACAAAATAGATGCTAATTTTACTCATGACCTAAATTGAGACAGAAAACATCTTGCCCTGAAATGGGTCTTTTAAACTGGGTGGGAGTAGCTGGATATTTAGGGAAAAAAAAATATTATCATTTCTCCATAATGATGATAAAATTATGAACAAATAATTATTGCTTAGAAAATAAGTCAAAAGAGGGTAATACTCAGTGTGGCTGATCAATGAAAGATTTCGTCTAAAAAGGGAAAACCTTTACTTCAGTAGAAAAGAAAAAAAAATCCACAATGCAGCAGTTTTTCCCGTCGGAAGTGTTTTAAACAAAAGTCCACGTCAGAGGCTTCACACACAGACATTTCTAATCTTAAAGGATTTAGAAATTCGCCCCGGGTCTCCGCTTTTATCCCGTTTCAAAAAACACAAAAACAAACCAAAAATCCGGGGAAACGAATACAACGTTACCAGTTAGGAAAAGAAAGCAGCTGGGTTTGAGAGCCCTAGCCGCCCACCAGCCTTCCAGTGGTCACCCGCTGAGGACAAAGATGCTCCGGGCAGGGAGCCTTCGCCGCCCCGTGGGCTCCGCGCTCCAAAATTAGCAAAAGCAATTACTCTCCCGCTTCCAGCGCGCAGTCGCCACGCGAATGCACCCGCACCCGCACGCACCCACGCAGGCGCCGAGGGGTGGGGGCAGAACCAAAACCAGGACGTGCCTCCCGTCTGCACAGCTCGGCGCTGCACCGATGCTACCCCGCAGCCCCCCGGGAGCCCCAGACACAGGGCCGCGCGACCCCCGCGCCCGGCGAGGGGACAGGGCGCTCCGCGGCCGACCGGGACCCTCGCGGGGGCCGCTCACCCCGCGGGCCAGCGGCCTGGAGGCCGGCGAGGCCCAGCAGAGGGGCTCGGCCCCCCATTTCGGGGCTCACACGCCTCGACCCCTCCACTGGAGGCTGCCGCACCAGGACCGGGAGCAGGGGGAGGTGCTTTCCTATTTCGGGGTTCGGGGGAGTTTCCGACCGCGAGTTGGCGAGGTTACCTCAAATTCTCCTCACGAAACCACTTCCCCACCCTCCCCCAGGAGGCACCCGGGCTGCCGCGGGTTCCTAGAGACGAGCTCCTTGGTAACGGTTGCCAGGTCGTGGCGACACGCCACTTCCGGTGGGGGCGGGCGCGCTTCCGCGGGGCCCTCGAGCGCGCGCGCGCGCGCTGTCGGGGCGGGGCCCGGGGCGGGAAAGGGCGGGCGAGCGCTGGGCCCACGCGCGAAGGCGGGGCACGTGGCCGGTGCGCTTGCGGGGCGTCGAGGGTCTGTGGGCTGTTGTCCCCACTCAACCAAACGTGGCGCTGACCTGGCGGGGCCTTGGTGGGTGGGGTGAGGGAGTCTTTGGCCTGGCTTTCGAATTTAGGTTTTTTTGACACAGTACCTCTAAATTGGGTTATCCACAGGAACAAGTGTAGCGTCTGGCAGGATTGGAAGAAACCACATTCATCACAGAGATTTCAGCTTTTGCGTCACGGCATTGGGCCACATTGCCTGCCCTGGGAATTAACTGTGTTTTAATCCCGTCCCTTTATATATATAAATTATATATATATTTTATATATAGGATATATATTATATGTGTGTGTGTGTATATATATATATATATATATATATATAATCAGAACCTGAAAAGGGGGAAGAAAATGGCCTAAGGCTCCTTGGGGCATCTGAGAAGATCTCCAGGCACAGGCAGAAGTAAGCCGCATCCTCCTGTGGTCTCCGGTTTCGCACAGTGCGGTAGGCAGGGTTGTGCCCTTGTCACCAAGGAGCTTAGAAGTCTCCTGGAAAAAAAGACCCCAGAAATGCACTACCTGGCTGAGGGGAGACCTTGGTGAATGGTGTTTTCTAAGATTTAGTTGAAAGAGTGATGGAGAGAAGGGGAGAGGCGCGTGCGCGCACACACACACACACACACACACAGAAAATCTCCCACCTGCTGGTTCTCTCCCCATAGAGCTGCAACGACCAGGGCTGGGCCAAGCCGAAGCCAGGAACATGGAATTCCATGCGGGTCTCCCACGTGGGTGCAGGGGTGCAAGTACTTGGCCCATCTTCTGCTGCTTTCCCAGGCACATTAGCAGGGAGCTGGATCAGAAGCAGAGCGGCCAGGACTCAAACTAGTGCTCCGATGTGTGATGCCAGCTTCCGAGGTGGTGGCTTAACCTGCTGTGCCACAATGCTGGCCTCTGTGACTGGTATTTTGGTTTTTTTGTTTTGTTTTTAAAGATTTATTTATTTTGAAAATTGGAGTTACACAGAGAGAGGAGAGGCAGAGAGAGAGAGAGAGGTCCTCCATCCTATGGCTCACCCCCCAGTTGGCTGCAATGGCTGGAGCTGTGCCGACCCGAAGCCAGGAGCCAGGATCCTCTTCTGGTTCTCCCACACGGATGCAGGGGCCCAAGGACTTGGGCCATCCTCCACTGCTTTCCCAGGCCACAGCAGAGAGCTGGATCGGTAGTGGAGCAGCGGGGTCTTGAACTGGTGCCCATATGGGATGCTGGCACTTCAGGCCAGGGTGTTAACCCACTGTGCCACAGCGCCGGCTCCCTGTGACTGGTATTTTGAGAGTCTACTGCACTTTGTGATATCCATTGGCAATGAAAAACAGAAAGATGAAAATTAAATGCTTCATACCCTGAAAACTTAGTTTGTCTGCTTTAATGTCTGAGGAGAAACCAACTGTGGGTTTAGCCTCAGACTTAGAACAACAACAAAGTCACAAATTAGACCCTAGCTATTTCCTGTACCACCTCGGCTGTGCAGGTTGTTGGGAACGCAGTGGAGGCGGGGACTCAACCTGGCCCTGGCCTCAAGGAATAGACAGTCCGTGAAGATGGAACAGGTGAGAGGTGGTTAAACAGGCAACACCCATACAACTGAGATCAATGCTGCAATCAAAAGGAACCAGTGTTGACTGAACCCAGATGAAGAGCTACAAGTTTACTTGGGGAGGGCGCCCACCAGAGGCGCCATAGTATCAGGAAAGCTTCCATCACGTGGACTGATGTTAAAGGATCGTTAAAAATTAGCTAAAGGGAAGGCGAGAGTTTTTCAGGCAGAGGGAACAGAATATGCCAAGACAGGCCTCCTTGCTGGCTGCCTTCTGACTGTTAAGAACTATTGAGCACCCTGCAAAGGGCTTGGAGAGAAACTAGAGCTGGTCCCAATCCATAGACACCCATGACCAGTTTCAGGGAACAGTACTGAAGACCTTGAACATTCAAATCGCTTAAATAATCCTCAGAGAAATACTCAAGGCCTGTTCAGCTGTGTACATGCCTAACTCACTGATCCTGCTGGATGTTAGGAGAGGCTCCTGGCTGCCTGGGTTTGCTGGGAAGTTTCCTCACCACCCTGAGGTTTCCTCCTCTGTAAGATGTGGCTACAGTAATACTTTTCAGTATTTTACAGTATTAAAAAGTACTTAAAACTATCACTTTCCTCCATAGCGTTGATGTGAGCACAGGTCAGTCAGCACAGGTAAAGCAAGCAGAACAGTGGGGGAAGGGCTGCAGATGGTTCTACTTTTTTTTTTTAATGAGGTGGTTTACTTTGCTCTTCCAGAGGATCTGCAGGTACAGGCTATAGGAAGATAAGAGTAATTTTTAGTCCTTCCGCTCCCTTCTGGCTGTTATATAAACACAGTGGAGAATGCAATCTTGAGTAAATTCAGGTAAGCCGTGAGATCCATCTGACTCCAGACAGCGAGCGATGAGATCCGCTGTGAGTCAAGATGGAGTGTATGTCTAACGTGGTTGCACTGGAACACAGAGAAGGACAGGAGGCTAGTGCTTCCTGGGTCCACAAAATGACAAGCTTATATTCCAGCTTGAAGCAAAAGGAGAAGCCATAGAGCACCGGCAGATCCCAGCTCTGTGTTTATGTACAGTGCTCAGACGCAGGCCCAGGGCACACTCGCTGCCACCTCCTGCTTCACATGAGATAGGTCAGACCTCGAGTGGGTTCAGAGAGAGGTTGAAGAAAGAATTCTCTGCAACAGCTTCACAACCGTGATTACCTCCCAGGTCAAGCTGCTCATACGAAGATTTTTTTCCTTAGATGATGTCGAGTCTTCTATGCAAGCCCCTAACGATGCCTTTTGGCTGAACTGTATTTAACATGTTTAACAGATGGAGAGGAGTTCCAGCCATATATGACAACCTCTCTGAAAGCTTTCTACTCCGACCCCATTCTCTCTTTTTTTTCAGCAGCTTTATTGAGGTCTAATTCACATACATACAACTCATCCAGGTAAAGTACACAAGTCCGTGGCTTTCAGCGTTTTCACAGCTATTCGGTCATCATTGCTATCTAATACTAGAACATTTTCATTACCCCAACAGAAACCCTGTTCCCTTCTGCCATCACCCACTGGTGTGCAGCGAGAACTCCCCACCCCCAAGCCCTGGGAAACTGTTCATCTGCTTTCCAGCTTGATATGGACTGGCCTCTTCTGGACATTTCACATAAATGGAATCATAAAACATGGGGCCTCTTGTGCCTGGTTTCCTTCGCTTACATAACGTTTCTTCATCCATGTTGTAGCATGCATCAGTACTACTTCATTCTTTTTTTTCTATGGCCAAGTAGTATTTCATGGTATGGCTAAGCCCCTTTTTATTTATGCATTTATCAGGAGATGGGCATTTGGGTTGTTTCCACTTTTTGGCTGATACGAATAATGTTGCTGCAGCCATCGGCGTACACACCCTCACTCCCCTGTGGATCCCAACTCTGTTGTCGCGGTTGGATGAGCGAGGTGTGTCCGTCACGGGCCCGGTGTGGGGGGCAGCTGTCTTGCATTCTTAGTGTCCTATCAGTTGTTAATTTTGTGGCCTCTTGGGTGCCCATGGCTCTAGACCACAGGGCCCGAGACAGGAATTCTTTGGCAGTTTTTGGCTGTAACAGCACAGCCCTGCTGCTGAAATCTGCTCATCCCTGATCTGATTCTCACCAGCAGCCATCTGATAAGATGCTGCTGCTTGTGTGGAGAGGAGCTCTGTCTTGCAGCGGAGGACAGGGTGAGCAGCAGCGTAGAGGAGGTGAGAGAAAAGCTGGAAGCTTCCCCTTCCAGCCTTCTCATTTAACTGCGTAGACTCTGCAACGCTCATTCACAGTTGTGAGCCTCCTCTCTGGTTGTTTAGAGGGGAAGGAGAATCACTCCTGGCAAAGTGTGTTTTTCAAGACTCAGTTTTGTGTAAGATAAAAAAAAAATGAGGGGGTTGTTATTTCACAGAGGTGTCTGATCCAGGGGTATTGTTACCTGCAGGTATGGCTTGATCTAGGACCTCAGTGATGTCATCATGATATTCTTTGTCTCTTCATCTTTCTGTTTCTCATCCCCTTTCCTTGGAGTGAGCGGCTAGTTAGCAGTGGGCTTACATTCTGTCTGGGAACTTCTATAAGAATAGAACCTTTGGGGCCAATAGTGTGGCATAGAAGGTTAATTTTCTGCCTGCAGTGCTGGCATCCCATATGGGCACCAGTTCGAGTCCTGGCTGCTCCACTTCTGATCCAGCTCCCTGCTAATGTGCCTGGGAAAGTAACAGAAGATGGCCCAAGCACTTGGACTCCTGTTCCTGCTTGGGAGACACGGAAGAAGCTCTTGGCTCCTGGTTTCGTCCTGGCACAGCCCCAGCAATTGTGGCCATTTAGGTAGTGAACCAGCAGATGGAAGATCTCTCCTTCTCTGTATATCTACCTTTCAAATAAATTAAAAAAAAAAAAAGACTAGAACCTTTTCTCTGAGAGGTTCGGCAATTTCCCCGGGGCCAGCTGTCATCTGTTGGTCCATAGCAATAGACAGGGATACTGGGTGAGGGTTGGCTCTCCAAGGGAAGGCCTGGCTTCTGTTATCAGAGGTGGCGATGCTGTGCCAACGAGAACCATAGATGTTCAGGGAAGGCTGGTCAA